TTTCCTACACTGATATGAATACTGGTATTTTGAGCTGGTTTCATATCATGGTTAAAGGGCTGGCTGCATGTTGATTTTTCTAGTTTTACCTCCTCATATGTATGCAAATACAAGCCAGTTGCCCTTAGAAAAGTTGTTCAAAATGGCATCTTTCTCTTCAGGTCCATAGCCAGTATTCATTGCCATAACCGAAACTGCCTAAACTTTCCTTCAGATTCTACATTTCATGATTATCGTTGTAAGCAGACAATGACCATTCCGCCTCTATCAGCGTAGCAGGAGTGTATTAAAAAAAATGTTGAATCATTGGATTCATAACAAAATCAACCATGTTTTAATAATCTGAAAACTTTATAAATTTTCCCGAATTTTCTTACGTCCATGGGTTTCACTAACAAGATATTCATACTTTTGTTCAAGTTCGTAAGCAGTTGAGCAATACAATTCTGAATACTGGTAGTTTGACCCAAGTTTGAATCTTCAGTATTCAGTATCTTGGGCATTAACTTGATTGATTTCAAGATTCATTAAACTTTGATTAATTTTGATTGGCCATCACACTGTCATGCCCCCTAAAGTTATTACTGCTTGGCATAATAACAATCTCACTTCACCATGTTACCCACTTTGTCAAAATTAATATATCAGCTGCAGTGTCTCCAAAGACTTTCACTATAAAACAGATTTAAAAAGATCTTTCTTAGAATACAAATAGGCTTGTCAACGTCTGGCAACAATTCATGAACTTTTCACGCAAAGCATTTATGCCTCATTTCAGATACAACATTTTGAGAAGTGTTTCATCTACCCTTTTCAGTATGGCTGCATCATTGAGAAGAAAATGATGTTGTCATGTTTGATTTCATTAGGCCTGATGCAGAATAAAAACTGGAACTGCTGATTTTCCTACATCTGTTATAAGAAGAAATTATTTCAATGATATCCTAGAGTACATATTAATTTGTCAACAGCGTTGGTTATTTCATAAATGGAAATGAGAATATTGCTTTTTCCATTCTCACTTTGGATATTCTAAATTGCACTAATGTACACAGCACTGAATTATGTCCATTTTAAGGAAAATTTGCGGAACATCATTCCTTATACGTTTCTAAACATCTTACAAGAAATGGACTTTCTTACAAGATTTAGATGATGAAAATATATTTAGTATCATCAGTCTGAATTCGAAAAACAGTGCGACTCTTCAGAAGACATTCCTTGTGATCAAAGTGACTATTTTAGAGGAAAAAATAACACAACAAAATGGAAGAAAAAACCCTTTCGAATTCAAAGATGCATGGCGTCCCATAATATAAAAAAATTGCCTGGCAATACACATTATCTAAAGATGTGGCTTCACCCATTGATGCATGGAAGCTAATATTTGATGACACAATGATTGAAATGATTGTGAAATGCTCTAATATTTATGTAAAAAATAGTTCGGGAAATTTTAAAGAGTTGCAAAACCTATGGAGAAAGAAGTGTTTCTTGCTTATGTAAATCCCATTCTCATTATCTATCCTCCCATGTAAATGTTAGAAAATAATGGGTGACTGATGGAATAGGATTGAATATTTTTTGTAAAACAATGAACTGTAAGTGTTTTCTTTTCATTTGTGCCTTATGATTTGATGATGTCGGAACACGGAATGGCAGAAGAAAGGGTGATAAATTAGCTCCAATAAGAGTTTTGTTTGAAAATTTTGTCAAGAATTGTCAGAAATTATATCATGTAGGGGAATACATAACTTTGTACGAAAAGCTAGAACCTTTTCAAAGACGATGCTACTTTCTTAAGTATATGCCTAAGAAACCTGTAAGATATGGTATAAAGATATTTACTGGGGTTGATTTTAGAACCTTCTATACTTTCAACATAGAAATTTAGGTTTAATCCTATTATCCAGTGCACACGGGATTTGGCTACTTTTGGCGACTTTATGATGAGCAGTAAAAACGTGACATATACGATGAGTAGTAATCAGGTCATTCAAAGAATATATATGGTTATACATAGTATATACTATATATATAGATGTTCTTTGGATCATTTTTATGATGAGCAGTAAAAACGCGACATATACGATGAGTAGTAAACAGGTCATTCAAAGAATATATATGGTTATACATAGTATATACTATATATATTGTGTATATACTATGTATATACACACATAGTATATAGTGTATAGTATATATATATATAGAGAGAGAGAGAGACGTTCTTTGGATCATTTTTGGTGTTGACGATAATTTTCAAAATCGCGCCGAGGCTGCACCGTATACTAGGATTTTACCAAATTTACTCAGGTCAGTAGCCAGATGGGCCATACAAGAAAGTCAACAGTTCTTGTGAAAAAGCAAAGCGCATCCTAACTCCATTATACAATTCAGGAAGAATGTTACCACAGACAGTTGGTATACCAGTTTATAAATTGACCAATTTCTTACAGGAAAATAAAATTTCTATCGTTGGAACAATATGCAGGGATGAGAAGATTATCCCACCTGAATTTGTGTCGAATAAGAATAGAGAACAGCATTCAACCCTCTTCGGGTTTCAAAAGGATATAATGCTACTTTCTTATATGGCTAAAAAGAACAAATGTGTCAACTATGCACAATGATGACCATACTGATGAAAGCACGGGAGATTTGAAAAAATCTGAAATAATTATGTTTTATAACATGACAAAAGTTTATTGAGATTATGGCAAAGTACACTAGGGCTATCTGCTTAAAGGGAGGGATGCCTTCGTGGAGGACTTTCTAAGGGAAACTGTCTTGTATACACATTACTTCTTGAGCCTAATTGATTAGAAAATTAATTATATAACTCATTGTCCATGTAATAATTCTGCATAATTTGGATTATAATTGCATTCAAAAATAAAAAACACAAATTTCTCATAGAAATAAATTATTCCTACTCATATGACGAAAACTAAGTACTTTTATTTATTTGTCATTAAATTTAAAAGTAACCTTATTTCTAAGCAATTTTATATAATAAATGGGGTTGATCTTTACATTACGGTAACTGGTAGTTTGGCGACATTTTGGAGGCGATAAAGGTTACTACCTGGGACTTTGGTAATAATGTGAGCAGTACTGAGTTCCGATTACGCATTATTTTGTGTGGGGGAAATGCGAGATCATGGGATGTCATGTGATATTAATGGACGAATTACGGTTCTTTAATCAGAAAAGGGGGGAAATCGGGAAAAAATCTGGAAATTTTGTATTTGGCTTTATTCTGGTGTTGTGTGAAATAGTGTTTGTGAATTTTTGGATCCCATGGCCGTAAGTAAAGTGAATTCGAAATGGGTATTTAGTGGTATTGAAAAGGATAGTAAGAAATGTTTTTAAGGTTGTGTGAGAGAGAAATAAACATGTTTATTATGTTATTTATTTTACCTGGTATCTTGCTTTGAAAGATAAGTATGATTTTAAAGATTCTGAAAGAGAATGAAGAAAAGTGTATCCGCCACGTATTGAAGATTCTGAAGGAGATTAGGTAAGTTAGTATTTTTAATTATTTTTATGCATTGTTGGAAATGTAAGGTGGAAAGGAATTGGTATTATTGGGAAAATTGTTATTAGCAATGATTTAGTTTAAACTAATTAGGATTGTAAGGTAATTTTTATTAATTGAATGTATGTGCTCATGTTATATTTTTAAGTGGTGTTTTTGAATTTAATTATATTTTAATGAAATGATAGTTATTTTGTGAATTTTATACTTGTAGGAATTTGGTGTATGTTTAAGTTGAAATAAATGTGCATGGAAATAATTTAAATATTTGATAATAAATATTTGTAATGCTTCATGTATGAATTCGTTGGTGACGTGTATAATGTAATAGATGATTTAGAGGTAAAAGTTTTTGGATATTTTATTTATTTTGTATGTGGAAATGTTCATATTTGTAAAGGGTAAATACTTTTTCGCGATCATGTAATTTCATATATGTTCTTTTTACCGGGTTTAAAGATTGAGAAAATTGTCATGTATTTTCGTGAAATTTTTTTAATTTATGAGATAAAAGCAGTGTACATGGATATAGTGAAGAGTGTGCGCAATGCCATTTTTGTGCAATTCTGGGATGTTTTTTTAAATAAAAATAAGTCGGCGTGTACATGGTTTATGTGTATGTGTTATTTTGAAAAACGCGTAAGGTGTATGGTATTGTGCACTTTTTCTGAATTTTGCAGTGAATATTTGTCATGATTAAGCAGTTTTGTTTGATAAAATTTCTAGCATAAGTGTAATTCGGCTAGTAGATTGTTGGAAGAAGTGTTCAGTAGATAAGAAGAAAAGAAACATGTCTTTACTTCGTGAAGACAAAATGGCGGCGGGGAAAAAAAAATAGAGGGTTGCTGTAGGGGAGTTGGTCGCCAAATTTTCGCCAAAATATCGCCAAGTTACCGTAATGTAAAGATCAACCAATAAATGTTATAATTATTATAGAATGCATTATTTTACATTATTACATTTGTACGTCGCTTAATTGCGACGCGCGTTACATAATAATACAGCGCGCGTCCTCCCTGGTTAACTACACACCGCTAAACGTCATGGTTAACCTATTTATTTTACTTCTATATGATATATATCTTTCAACAAAATAAACACAAGAGGATTGGTTGCAAACTTCGAACAAGCCAATAGGATAAATCCGATGGGTTACCAAGTTTGAACTATTATCGCCAAAGTTGGCGATGTTTACATTTACCGGATTCCCTGCGGAAGTGCTTCCCTTATTTAATACTGTGTTCACTTATTTTCACTTCTTAGTAATGATTTTCTCTTCTAGCATCCCATGCACGGATCGAAATCGTATTCGCATTTATTTTTGAAATAAAATTAAAGCAACTTTCACTATATTTTGAAAATTGATCAGTAAAACGGAAGCTACATAAATTACTGTTGAAATAAATTTAATTGCTTATTAACTTCGAGTAGACGGAAAATTATTGTTGGTAATACTTACAGAAAAGGCAGTTCAAATGTCTGGAGCAGCTAGAAGGTAAACGTACTTAGACTGCAAGAAAATAAAACCGGCAAAAATTTGGACGACTCCAACTGAGACGAAGACAGCAGCTGTTGCTAAGCTGCTGCACGATCTCGGACAAATATGGGGCATATTAAACAGTTACAATAATTAGATAAAAGCCAATATAATAAATGTCCGTGAAATTTTTAAGAAAGCACGGATTCTTGTACATCTGTCACGCTAAATATCCATAAGTATTCCAAAGAAAGTCTTCAGTATGCTGTTGCCATTATGAAAAAGCTTAATTAAATATCATTCAATCCCTTATTTCCAATCGAGGCTGTTTTGTAAGCAAGTCATCTCTGTTTACCAGAAATTATTTTTTTTCTCGTACAAAATACAGACGATACAAAACAAAATGCAAGCGTTACAAAATGCTCCACGCAGTTTTAGCTTTGCGTGAGGTATTTGTTTGAATTTCTTGTAATTAGAAAAACTAGATAGTTTTGGTAGTTAGATACTAAGAAGTTGGTAATAACGAAATTAAATAGATTTCTAGTAATTATAGTCGCTCAAATATTTTTCTAATATATTACTTTTTTTTTTTTAATTTAAGCTTTGGTTGTTATAAAATAAATATCATGAATGGCCGAACACTTGCTTCGAAGCCTTCATCTACAAAAGTGGTTAGAATTATTGTAAAATTTCTTATGTGGAATGAAATATGGTGCTACTTTGGTAGACGGCTGCACGGATTTTGGCGATTTTTGACGATATTTCTTTTGGCGAGCTATACGACTTATGGTAAACCCATTGCTGGATAAGTTATTTATGGTAACCGATACTTTGTTGTCATTTTATTAAAAAAATAATGCGTTTTATTATGCATAAATTCCGTGTTTTAAATATTATTTATGGCTTCTAAATATTAAAAATCAGTTTAATTTTGCATTTTTATTTGAAATAAAAATTTTATTTTGTTTCATGCAGTTTTATGTTGTGGATGATGTAATCATTGACGTCACCTAACTTTAAAAAATAATTACTTTTAATATCATAAATTTAATGTATGTTTAAACATTATTTATGGCTGTTAAATATTAAAATACAATTTAATTTTGCATTTTTTAAATCATTTTATTATCTATGATTATTTAAATAATTTTAATTCTAGGCGTGATGTAATCAGCCCTCTGATTGGTTATAAACACGGAGTATTAACTCCGTGGTTATAGAATATTTGTGCATTAACGAGCTGTAATAAGCTCCCTGATTGGCTACTGAACATTTGTGCATTACCACGCCATTTTAAAATTTAATTTTCATATATTCGAATTCCTTCAAAGATGAATGTTGTTATTGGTAAGTACCAGTTATTGGTATGGGAATCAAAAAATTATTATCCTTTGTACTTCAGGGAGGGGCGGTTAAAGGATCTTCGAAATCTTAAAACAATACCTATAACTGTAGGTTTTTTTTTTTCCAAATTTTTTTTGTTATTTTAATTTTTATGATCCATTAATTTGGCTCTAAATTGCTTTACCTATTTATAATTTTTTTATTTTTTATTCTTGCCCTTGATATTACATTTTCAAATTTTTTTCATTGATATCTAAATTATGATTCCGATTTTTTTGTGATACTTATCAATAAACGACAGGTTAAATGACTAAAAAAAATTTAAGTACATGTTTTTCTGTATTTTATAATTGTATGCTTCAATTTTTGTTAAAAATTAATGCACAATTTTCAAAAATTGCTGAATAATTATTCTCACATATGTGTTAATGTTAATTATATTCTATATAGCGTATTTTAAAGGATTTGAATTTAATAATATTCTAATTCTTTTAAATGTTGGTATGATGATTTTTATTTCGATATTCAATTTCACTTAATCTGCATTTATGGTTGCATTTATGGCTTTCCCTACCGTTACCTTGAATTATTCGTTTTTCATTTTCATGAAAGCAATTTTCGAATTTTTCTTGGAGAAAACTTCCTCTTTAATAATAGCATAATCACGTAAATCAGTCAAGTCGCTAATGCCAGATATATTTTAAGTATTCGGTTTATGTGGAAATATGATTGTTATTTTTCAGTTTCTCCTTAATTTCGTCCGAAGAACTTAACGGTTCTACGGACTGCTTCTCCCTCACACTGAACTTGACGTACACAATTCTTGGCATCATACAGCCCAAACTCTTCAATAAAAATTTGAATAAAGTCATTGTTTTCAATATCGGTTCTAAACTTCTTCCAAGCATATTTTTATAGAAGTTATCCCCTAGCTTATTCATGAGGTATTTAGTTATATACTGGTATAATCTTTCGTCGTGAAACCTTTATGGTCAAAATGGGCTGCTGTCTTTAGAAAACTGGTACTGATATAAGACTTTCTAAATAATCACCTAAAAATCTAACTGCAATTTTAGGAAATTTATCATAAGCCTCTGTAGATAACTCTATTTCAAAATAATGTTTCACGATTGTACTGCTTTCTAAGTTATGCCACCGCATAAAATTGGGCATTGTTTCAGGCACAATTTTTTGGTCACCACGTAGGGATCGCCGGTGCTTCAGAGCAGGGTACGGAGAAACTTGTTTAGGGCGACTCCATCTTACTTCCTACCTCCATGGGTATAATTCAGTGCTAAGCCATACAAATTCTTTGTACTACTTTAAACTTCATGCGTGTATTTGGATAGCATAACTACATAAAGTGTTTTTCTCTTTTTAGTGTTTTCATTAACTTCATTTATCTTGCACTAGTATCGTATATGAACTTATTGCTGATTCATCACTGACTATTATTGTGTGTTACTTCATGGCTCCGCACAGAATTCAGTGAATCAAAAGAAGTAACCTTCACGTACATATCATTTTTTTATGCTTGATGATTTATCAACACCAGCTTCGGTGTCAGTTTCAGAATTTGAAAACATTTTTTCAGTCTGGTAAGATGCAAATTTATGATCTTCAATTTGCCGATCTCCTGTGAGGTCTTTTGAATGTATAATGTGTGTTTTAATATTCGTGGAAGTTCATATTTCGTGAATATGAATAGCTTATTGTTAATATTCTGCCTGAAAAGACAATGTCGAATTCAGTATTTTCTGACATTATAAAACAGGTAGACATGTGTACTCCAAAAGAATTTGGTTGTGTGGGTCGTGCACTGCATTTAGGGTTTTTCTACCGTTACGTTGAATTATTCGTTTTTCATTTTTATGAAAGCAATTTTTCTTGAAGAAGACTTGTTTTTTAATAATAGCATATTCACGTAAATCAGTCAAATCGCTAATGCGAGATATATTTTAAGTATTCGGTTTATATGAAAATATGATTGTTATTTTTTAGTTTCTCCTTAATTTCGTCCGAAGAACTTAACGGTTCTACAGACTGCTTCTCCCTCACACTGAACTTGACGTACATAATTCTTGGCATTATACAGCCCAAACTGTTCATTAAAAATTTGAATAAAGTCATTGGTTTTAATATCGGTTCTAACTGTGTTCCAAGCATTATTTTTATAGAAATTATCCTTTCCTTTCAGAAAATACCCCTTTAATGTCAGATATAATTTAGAGTTTCAAATACGGTTTCCTGTTCAGCGAGACAATTTAACGACACTTGTTCCTGGAGGTGGTTCTTTACCATATGTAATTTCAGTCGAAGGACTTGACGTTCATTTCCAGCGGTTTTTTCTTCAGAACAAAATTCGCGATCAGAAGACACTAACAATGTTATTCTTTTTGAAAATATCCGTTCAACGTCCTATATTATTCCAGTCCAGAGATTAGTGTTTCATTTACGGTTTTTTCCTCAGAAGCCAATTTAACAAGATATGTTTCTCTAGGTGTTCTTCGTCAGATATAACTTTAATCGAAAAACTTGACGTTTCATTTCCAGCAGTTTTCTCTTCAGTACAAAATTCGCTATCAGAAGATACTTTAAAAACGGTTTTCCTTTCTGAAAATAACACCTTCAACGTTAGATAAATTTTCACACGAACGATTCAATGTTTCATCTGTTCCGATTTCCTCTGCAAAAGAACATTCAGGTACGCGGTATGGGATACGTCCAAAGTATTCTTCCACGTCTGAAAAGCGTTCCGTAATGACATCCGGATGCCCTAAAGATTAGACGTAATATTTCTTGACCTTTGAATGTAAACAGAACGTCACAGAAACATACAAACAATTTTTGGTATCTGAAGAAGAAAAGAAAAGCAGCATCCTGCACTACTTATTTTCCTAGTAGCATTACCTTCTACTTCCGATGTATGGCTTAACCATGAGGTATTGAGTATATACTGGTATAATCTTTTGTCGTGAAAACCTTTATGGTGAAAATGGGCTGCTATCTTTAGGAAACTGATACTGATATAAGACTTTCTAAATACTCACCTAAAAATCTAACTGGAATTTTAGACAATTTATCATAAGCCTCTGCAGATAACATTGTTTCAAAATAATGTTTCACGATTGCACTGCTTTCTAAGTTATGCCAGCGCATGAAATTGGGCGTTGTTTCAGGCACAGTTTTCTTGTATTTCGTATGCATTGTCTGCGTAGAGGCAGTAACAGAGCAGGTTTTCAAAGAAATATTACATTCGAAATATCTCCATATCCTTGTTATCGGTCATTATAAACAAAATATGTTTAAACAGTACAATAAACTTAACAAAAACGTAATTATAATCCTTTTATAACAAACAAATTGAGAAATTAGTTATCTGTCATTTGTTCTCTAAGCAAGGCTTTCGTGTTAACGTTACAAGTGCTACATAATTGGAAAACTAAAATCTTTGGCGGGACTCGAACCAGGAAATCACGAATACGCGCCGAGGTGTCTACCGTTACACCATGAAGGCATGTTGGAAAATGGAGGCAAATACCTTATCATCCATCGGAAAATTCGTGTAATTAAGTTGTCGAATTTCTGTAGTCCAAATACAGATTTATTCGTATGCAAAAGGCAGACAGTTATAATTCTTTGTTCATTTATTCCACAAATATTATACTTCCAAAAATTTGATTTTATCAGAAAATAGAAAACAACTTTTCGAAACATTTAAATAGCGAATGTTTCTTCTCCCCTTACACTGAATTGGTAATCAGTGTTGACAACTAAGTCATATTTCTTTAAATTTATATCGTTCATATCCAGATCGCTAACTCCGTCGTTTATTCACAGCACCGTTGCTGCTTCCTGGCGAGTGGGACCCATTTTTTAACTTTTCGTAATTTGACATTT